TTGATTATCTTCAAAGCTTTGTGATGATAATTCTTTTACATTTTATATTATTCATGCACACATAGAGTGTCTTTTAGAAATCGGACGTTATTTGCATGTTCTTTCCTTTCTCCCCAAGAATGGGAAAATGTATGGTGAGCAACGAAAATACGCAGCCAGACTATGGCTTTATTTAGGTGTAGATAAAATCAAAAAGGCATTAACTTGGGCAGCCCTTTCGTGACGCCAAGAGCAAATCTTTTCCGCATCAAGGCGCTCCCATTTTCCAGCCTCGGAACACTCGATTGAGATGCATGGACATAACCTGCCATTTCCCAGCTGACTAAAAAGCACGCTCACGTTTCCTCCCCCGGTTTTTCCTTTTTTTGTTTCACTATTTGCCGCAGTCTACAGACAAAATGGGACAAAGAGAGCGGCGGAATCTGCTACCGCACCACTTGGAATCTGGCCATTTTTCAGTTCAGGTTAATTCCATCAATTCTCTCAGGTGAGGGCAATCGCATTAGCCGAGGGCTGCAGACAGACAACGACTTGATTTGGGTAAGGGCATTTTTCACCCCCAAAGTTATACGACTCTGATCCAGAAAAAGTAAAAATTGATTACAGCACAGAGGGGCTGCGTCCTCGGCACGGTTCGCCCCGAGGGACACCTTTTAAAAGATGAGAATATGTGGGTGACCCTGTAACTTTGTCCCCTTCTTTATGACCTCTTTCGCTCAGACGCAGCCTCTTTCCACTCGCAGCAGATAGCTTTCAATGGTAAATAATGGAACAATTCAGTGGGGAATGATTGCGAGTTGAATTTTTAACGCTTATCGCCCACCTGGAAATCGGCTTGCGAACAAAGCTTATTATTTCTGCCCACTTTTTTCGGTCGCAACATCAAGATAGAAATAAAATACAAATGAAAACGAAAACAATTTCTTGTAGTAAAAAAACTCATTATTTTTTTACGAGGGTACTTTTTTTACGACAGTATTGTTTTTCCCTTTTTAAAAATTTCTAAACCAGACTTTAATCTTTGAATTCAGGTATTTTTAGGCTTATTGTGTTTATGAATGGAGTTTATACGTGTGGGAGGACGAGAAAGCTTTTCAAATATTGCATGTATTTTGCAAGGATATAGAAAAGCTCGGGAAGCGATTTTTGTGACCTAGACCTCAGAGACTCTCTCCGCAGAGGAAAACTATCTGGCAAAACAGCCTTTTAAGCTGGGAGCGACTTGTACGTATACACCGAATCGGAAAAACATTACATTTTGGCCGCATAATGCTCCCTGCTGGATGGCGGTAACCCTCTTATATTGCCGCCACCGTCGTTCACCCGTACATAAATATGTGTATAGAAAACTATTTGTTTCTACAAGGACCATTTGGACGACAGGAGGAGGAAAACTGCTCTTCCACCTAATATCACCCCGCCAGATAATATGCAAAACAACAAAACCCTAGAGCTTCAAATATACGTGTCTGGAAAATAAACCGAAATGCCTAATGCGGCAAAAAGATTGAATTACAGGCTTTAACATCTTAACAAGTAATAAAGGCGTTGCAGAGAATTAGGGCCGTTTGATGTGTGTTTTGCAGCGAGGGCAAGCAATTTCGATGCCAATGAAGGATCTAATAAGAATGTGATTACACGCATGACGACTTCTCGCAATAAGCATTTCTCGCCGTGGCTATTCGGCCGACGAGGCTATAAAACACAGCCAGCTAGACGCATTCGTATGTACTTTACACTATAGTCCCCTGCTTTCTCTCCTCTCGGACGGACGGACGGACGGAGCGAATGGGTGGATCGCAATTATAAGCCAGAAAGAGACTAGTGCTCTCTTTATCTGTCTGTCTGCTGCTCCTATTTCTCTGTCCAACGCAAGCAAACAAGCAAAGTGCTTGATGATTTCCTAACGAAATTAGAGATGATGAGATTTTGCGGTCGCGCCACCGCGCCGAAATTCATCACTTGAGCGATTTGTCTCCTCGCCTGACACATAAACGATCAATATTTTGCACTGCTGAGGCAGTACCTAGCATGGCCAAACATTGATAAGCGATAATTGTGTATTTTTTGTTTGTTGTTCTTTAATTAAACCCAAAGACTGTTTGCTTCAGTTTTAAATAATAAAAATATCGTGGCCATTATCTCCGTTATTTGTTAAATTACTTAAAATTTATTTCACCCATTTGCAAAAGGTTTAATTCGTTTAATTATAATGTATGTATAACAATATTTACTTGCAATTTCTGATGCATTGAAAGTGTTCATATTTTTAATAAGCATTAAAATCCTGTAATCATATGTATAAATAAAATGAGTTTAATTGAAGTTAAATGAAATTATTTTAACAATCCGATTGATTATTGCAGTAAAGCGACGCGTTATAAAAATGATCATAAATCTCAAGTACTGCAATTTTTTTTTTTTTTAAATTAAATAATGTATTGTAATGTATTTTTTTTTAATATCCAATTAAAATAATGCAGATTTAAATAGAAATATATGAAACTCAATTTAGGGAATCTTTTAATTTTATTATAACAATTTGCAGCATTTTACAATTTATTTAAATTATAGATTATTTTTTCCTGTGCATCATTTGAATGAAGATTAAATAAATAAATAAAATTATTACTTCATTTTGTTCAAGTATAAAATCTTGATTTATTAATAATACAATATTTCTTCATTATTCAAGCTATCAATAAATTTTATTTACAAAAATTTATTTTACAAACATTTTTCAAATTATCTTAAATTTTTAGATTGATAGTTTTAAATATAATGAGGGTTATGGCCAATCTAAATCAGTGAAACAAGTAACGTAAAAACTTCTGTCAAATTCTGCAAGTAAATTGGCCGATATCCAGTTTGAAAGTGGAGCTGTCCAAGCATATTGGTCACATCGCGCCGTATGAGTGCTGTGTGAGCGGAATCGTTAATGATTTTTCCCGAGGTAACCAGCTGCCTTCTCTATTCGCATGCTTTCATTTGGATTCTATCAGTACAAAAATAATTCACTACACATCCCCTACAGACTTCTTCTTAGCGCGGGGGATAACTATTTCATCTATTATTGGAACTCGATTTTCGCATCCTTTTAATTTCACGCTGAGTTATCGCGGTGATGGAAGCAGCAAGCAAGGCTAATGCAGAAATAGGATCTCGCTCCGGTGCGCGGCGCCTTTGAATTACATGCTCTGTACGCTGGTTGTGTACGCGAAGGCAACCCTCGCTCGCTTTAGCCGTGTCCGATTTTTCCACAATCACGCTTGCTCACGTCCATCATCACATCCCACACGCTTTTCCACGATTACCTTCCCAACCGTCGCGGATAATTTCATTAAAGCGCTGACCTCACCACTAATAAAGTCAATCAATCAATTACCCTCACACCGACAACAGTTGGCGGCGATTGATTGCGGAAAGGGTTGAAAAATCCTTCTCCCCACCCATACAGATCTGCCCCTCGAAATTATTTTTCAAGCGGCGCGCACTCACTGTGCCACTGATGTCGCCGCAGAGTGGTATTTCAGTTTAAAACGCTTTGAGCCGCAGCCGAAAAATACCGCAACTTGTTGTGTGGAAAATTGTTTTGATCACTCGCCGTTTTTCATTTTGTGGCAAATAAATCACTCCGTCACACACGCCGCCCAACGCCCAACATGAATGGGGAAATTGGCAGTTTCACAGCAGCGCCCAGTCTGCTTGATTCTGGAATGCCCATTGCCTCTGTGACGATTATTCAATGCTCACAAAATATAATTTTATTGCAATTCAACGAAATAGTAATATTAAAATCTATTTTGAAATAACATAAAAATTATTTCCAAGTTGACAATAGATTGAAACCTAATTTTATTTGAAAGTTTTCACTGGTTTAAAAAAAAAGAAAAAAGGGGAATAATAAGTTTTCTGATTTATCACAAATTAATCTGGAATAAAGTTTTCAGTAATTTAAATCTTTTATACGAGGTATGGATAGTGGAGAATAAGCAAAATATTTTTACACATCTGCAAATCAATATTGTGATGAAAAAAATAATTGTATTTCACAACTACACATTTGATTGATTGAGCAAAATAATAAATAGCAGTTAAATACAAACTTTCAAAAATTCTTTGATGAACAAATTAATTTACAAAGTTTTGTTTCAATATTGCGTTGACCATTACAATGGCCACTTGAAAGGTCTGCTTGATTGCAATCCAGACCGTGAAGTATAATATGAAATGAGCAGCACACGCTGCGCCGTAGGAAGTCAGCAGTTCCGGCTAAACTTCCGCCATTGTGGCTGCGGGCCTCTCATTGTTAGCATTATAGAAAGCAAGGAGCAGTAGTCTGATGGGCCAATTTACTGGTCTCTCAAGTGGAATGAAAGAACGACGGCTCTGACAAATGGGCCCAACTTGAGCTCGCGCCTGGATAACAAAGGGAGATCTGTGAAAAATACTCTCGCGTTCGCTCGCTTTCGCACACACACCATCCAAATGAAGTCTTTTTATGCACGTTTTATCTACGCTAGTGGGGAGAGCGATGCTTCAACACGTGATTAGCATTCGATCTGAAATTCAGATTGCTGTAACGATGTTGGCAAATCGTCTACTGACAGCGCATATCGCTTTTCCTATCCTTGAGAAAATTCACTTTGAGGAAAACGGCAGTACCATCAATATCCTACCTCGCTGCCAAATGCTGGCTTCAATTAAAAAAAATTGCGTTTTTCTCATTTATTAATTATGGAGAGGAATCAAGACCAAATAGCGAAAAATCTCTTGATTCATCTTTAATCTGCACCTTGAAAATAAAGATAAATAAGGCCAGTAAAATTTTTAATTAAGGCGGGGAGAATGCTCGGTGAGACACTAAAATATTTTATGAAACTAATCAGCTTCTGCTGACTTTTTTTCCTAGCTGTCATTTTGATTGCCAATATCAAAATCGTTAAGACAGAATCTAAGATCATGTGATTACATAAAAAAGAAACCTCATACAATTATCACTTCATACTGCAATACTTTTTATTCAATATTAATAAACATTATCTTCTGAATAAAGGAGAATGCAATGTGCTATGCATACATGTCTTGCAGGTTGCATACATATGTAATTCATATGAATCGTTAATTTAAAAAAAAAAACTTGCATAATTAGCAATTTGTCCACTTTTATACTAAATTTAGTCTTGAATTTTTGTAAAATTAAGAAACATAGTAGCTTACATTTAAGAAACTAAATTTTTTGATAATTTTCTTCAATATTGAAGCAAGAACTTTGTAAACTAGTAAGAATTTATGCAATACTCTTAAGTTAACTACTGAGCAGTTTGCAGAAATATGTTTGCTCAGTCAACTTTTTACGTGAAAATTGCCTCAATCCTCAGAAAAGCAAGGCATACTATTTCCTATTCATCAGTATTAAATGAAATTATTTGAAATTAGCAAATTTAGATTTGCCCAAGCTGACTGATGTATCAATCTTTCACGCTCCAAGAATCTACGATTAACTTTTTAATCGATGCCCTTAGCCCTTCTCTTGAAATTTCAAGGGCGTGGGCAATAAGATCGTCCACCTTATCAATCACAGCATCCTCATCAATTGTAGCTGCACCTAGTTGCAGCAATTCATCAGCCAACTCGGTAATTACTGGACGCCTAAATATATTCAGTTTTAATTAAAACCATAACAAAAGAATAAATCTGAGAATTTTCTAACTTGTTGGTAATCTCCATAGGGTCCATGAATTTCTCATCAAAAGCCTCTTTCACTTCTTCCAAGAGATCATGTCGATGGCTGATAATTTCCAGTTGCGAACTTTCTACTTTAACAGTTTCCTTCAACTGATGTACCATCTTCTTCAAAATAATCAACCTTAAAACAATATTTTCATAATTAATATGAAAAAAATGAATGAAACTCCATTTACTTGGAAATTTTGTTTCCTTGAGCCTCTTCTTGGTTATACAATTCATACAAGTGTTTGATTTTTTCTTTCAGATTCTTGACATTTGTGTCCGCTGTCTGCATACTACATTTTGGGAGCAAATGCAGCAGCATATTTTTTTTAGAAATATTTGGATTGTCTTTGGGATCCAATTGCTTGCTCTTTTTGTTGCTGCAATTATTTTTTTTGGGGTTTCCTTGCAAATTTCCCCAGGGGATGGCATTTTTTTGGTCAACTATAGAACTGGCCTTCCACTGCTCCAGTTCAGGACTTTGTGGCTTTTCAAGAACCTTACGAATACGGCTTTGATTAGACGTCATTGCCATATCCAATTTTTGTTTCTCAATAATCATCTCAAGATCATTCTGCATTATCTGAAGATCATTCTTCAATGTTGACGAATAACGAACCTGCCCTTTGGCAGATTCTTTGATTGGCTCCCATGTATCATACAGGTCTTCAAAGTCATACGACAAAATTTCACTGTTCTTCATAACTTTGTCTTCTATCGTCTTCAAATTTTGAACACTAATTACCGTGCAATCATCATCATCTTTTGTGTCAGATGACTTGTTCAGCTGGTGTTTGGGTGCTTTCCCAATATTACCAACACCCCTGTCCCTGTTTGAAGCAGCAGCTGCTGGCAACTGGATTTCAATGTCCTATTAAAAAAAAATCAGAAAAATTTAAGCATTTAAATAAATATTGTGTTAAAATTACATTGTTTAAGTGGTTCTTTGAATTCTGTGGTTTCTTGTCATATCTGTTGAAGTTCCCATAAGCCTAATTTGATAAATATTAATAATTAAATAATTTAATAAATTTATATTTATAAAATACCTCAGTGGCAGCTACAGCCTTTGTGTGCGTGGTATAACTAGAAACATTATCCTTTGAAAGAGAAAGGGGAAGCTGAAAGATCATAATTATTAGCTAATAATGTTGTTTTTTTATGTTTTCATTGTTTCAAACTTATTTCATCTTATATTGTATGTAATTTAATCCTGTGAGGGGTAATACCTTCAAATTTGTAGGTTTTCCCTTGCTCAACATTTTTGTGATTTTGCTAAACTGGGCATCTTCAGATTTTGGAGTTTTTCTTCCTGAGAATAGTTTTTCAATGGAGGCAGTTGAGCGCTTCTTTATGGTGGTTCTCATTGGTGGTTTTGGCTCACTGGCAAGTAGCTCATCCAATGTTGCTAGTTTTTCTTTGCTTGGAACCACAGACGAGGTATCACTAATTGGTGCCACAAACTGCACAGGTTTGACTTTGCTCCTGTTTTCTCGGTCAGGGTAGCTTGTCTTAAGAACCTCGTCAAAGACTGAATCTTTGCTGTATGATCCCATGTTAAAGCTTGATGGAAAAATTGGCTTCCTATTCTGGGCCTGGGCAATCTTGGTTTTTTTATTATTCTCATACTGCTTGGTAATATCAAACACTGTAGGCTTGCTAGAGCTGGTGATCAGATTGGCTGGCAAGTCTTTAAATAATTGTTTCTTCAAGACATCAGATTTTCCCAGTTTCTTTTTCTCCGTTGGTTCATTACTGACAGCAACTTCAGTTCTTTTTGATGAACGGAGATCATCACCCTTGCTTGTAACCATTGGGGCAGACTTCTCCGTCTTTGATGGCACATCCTTTGAAGCTTTAGATGAGCTTTGCTTGTTGGCCTTCTGTGTTATAGCTTGTTGAATTGGAGTCTTCTTTGGTCTCCCACGGGGCTTCGTCACTGGAATTTTCTTATCATTTCTCATCAGTTGATTACTCTGCTTTAGGTTGACAGCTGGAGTAGAAGGAATTTTGTTCAAACGATCCATCTTTCTTTCAGAACGATTAGTTACATCTGAAATAATACATTTAAAAATTAATATTTTGAGATCAAGACTCAACCTAAAAAGCATTAATCCTGAAAAGTAATTTCAGGCCAGTTAATTCAATACATACCATTTAAATCCTCTGAGCCAATTTTATCCACAGTGGTCAACAGGTTGATAGCTGGAGTTGCTTTCCTTTTTTGCCCAACCTTCACCTTCTCCTGGAAAGGGGGTGCTGGAGTGGCTACTCTTGTGAAAGTACGAGTTGCAGCAGGAGTGACTTTTTGGTTTGGTATTCGCTTCCCCAATCCAGGAGCTACCTGATTATCCTGCTTTTGGAAAACTGGAATTCCTTTTCTTTCATTTACATGCAGATTGCTTGGCTCATCGTCATTGTCACTCCAATCTGTAGACATTTGTTCCACCACAGGAGTTGCCTTTCTTTTTGAAGGAAGCTGTACTTTTGTTTCCTCTGCGTCAGAAATTTCCTGATCTGAACCACAGACAGTTTTAAAATCAGCATATGTGGACCCGCCAGGGGAATTGGGGACAAGATCATTTATAAATGTTTTTGGGTTATTTGAGTCTTCAGCACGCCCAACTTTTTTAGATTTCATTATCGCAGTATTGGCACCATCAATATCCTTTGAAGTTGAAAAAACATGTATCATATAAAATAAAATTATTTTTAATTAAATTAATCGTACCAGTAACCTGCTACTGCCTCTGTCAATTTTGTAAGGCACGGTCTTTGAAACATCCAACGCGTTTTGGCTGGCTTCAAATGTCAGTTCACTAATTTTTGAGAGATCGTTCTAAAAACATAAATTTATTGTTAGAACATTAAATATTTCCAAATCAATTAGTTTTAAACTTGCCTCCAATTTGTCTTCCAGTAACATTTTGACAATTTCACAATCCAAATCCTTCAAAACCATCACAAGATCAGCTTGCTTTTCGAGACAAGGCGTTTCGGGAGCTCCTATTCTCACAGACATCGAAAGCACATGAAAGCCTTTTTTATTGGAAGGCATCAAAACTGCTTCCTTGACCATTTTGATAGGCACTTCAATGCAACAGAGTGGGTTGGTTTCATCATCTGCATGACCTTCCTTAAGCAAAACTGTGAAGTCAATTGACTTAGAGCGCATGCTGAAGTTGACGTGCATGTGGTTATAAAGATCAGGTCTATACACTTCCTTATTTTGGTAAATGATTTTGTAGCAGACAAATGTATTAACTCCAGTTTCAAAGGTGGTGTTGATAGAATTCAGGAACTCCTGCACCTCCTATAAATATACAAGAACTTCATCCTTTTAGAACTCTTTTGTGTCCAATTTATTTTACAATTTGGAAGAATGTCTTGCCAAAATCCAAGAACAGCTTTCTCGTTTCAGAAGAAAAGCTCTTGAACCAGATATTTGCTGCCTCCTGCTTTTTGTCTGATGGAGCGACTCTGCTGAGAATTTCTGCAATACGCTCTTGGGTAACGTAGTCACCGCACTGCAGCATGTACTTCACAAGACATTGCCTGCAATGAGATGAAATCCCAGTGTAAATTTAAAAAAATAATATATATTTTATCATCAGTAATTAACAGCTCATTATTGTGCTCTTCTCGAAGCTTATTCCTTGTTGACCGACTCAGTCTTTGAAGAAAGAAGGCAAGACATTCTAAAGCTTCAAGCACAGTCTCTTTGTCTTTTAAGAGTGATGAGAATTTCAAGAGACTTCCAAAGCACTTCAGGAGCAAATGATTTGTAATCTTTAGACCTTTGGAAGCACACAACTGGAAAGAACAAAACAAAAAATAAATTATCCATTTAAAAATCTTTAAATAAATAATTACCTTTAAGAGGACAAAGTCTCGAGTTGGCATGGAAGGTAAGTTTTCTCCTTTCTTCAGGCAATCAGCAATGATATCTGCCACCCTGAGCCTATCACCTCCATTGTTTAAACGTGGACTCTAAAAAATGTATACAAGGATGTTTTTTAACCATGATTAATAAAGTCCATTCTCTGCGATTCGTTACCTTTGATAACTGCTGGAGCAGTTTGTGTGCACATTCTAATATCACTGTTAACTGGCCCACATCGCTCACTGTGAGTATCTGCAGACAAACAATTCATATTAAAATGCTAACTTCAAAATTATTTTTTTTTTATAAAAGCTGTTGTCATGCTCCATCAAAAGGTTAAAATATAATATGATAAAAAATACAAAATGTTAAAATTAAACCGTACATAATATGGTTTAAGAAAAATTCTAATATATATTTTACCTGTGGCAAAATTCTACAAACTAAAGCTTCAAGTTTATCCAGATGATTGGGATTGAAACCTTTGTCATTTTCAATGTCCGTGAAAAGGTTCTGCAATCCTCTTTTGTCGTTCTCCATTTTGCCTTTGTTGATAACTGTTAAAATAAGTTTTTGTAATTATGTTTAACTTTAATTATTTTCCAGGCAAAATAAGAGTAAAATACATCCTAAAATTATATTTCTATGTCATTTATGTAGACAAGTTTATGTGTATATTGTGCTTTCATGACAAAACATAGCGATGGAGGCAATACCCTGCTCAAAACAAAACTCCAAATTTATATGATAATTCTCAATTTTTATAGCACTATTCTTGTGATTTCAACGCTCATTGCTAGGGTGTGGACTGGTGTGTATACTTGAAATTCTGACCGTTCTCCATAACTAATAAGGGTGTAGAACGAGTGTCGATACTGTCGATAGGGACGACAAAACTTTAAAAATCACCCAAAATTCTTCTCGATTACAAAATTTTACACGTCGCTACAAGTCCACAATACATAAAATTATATATTTTACATAATATAATGAATTATGATTCCAGACAAAAAATTACAACCGAAATATGTATGAGAGATTATGTATTACGTAAATTTCTGGAACATTATTATGTTGCGAATTCTTATGATGAATGATGAATCTCTCATCTAGATTTAAATTTCAAAAATGCATGGGAAAAATTCTTGCAGCCATACATACGCGAAGATGACCCTCTTGCGCTTGGGAAACGAAAAATTCATATGAATCATCAATAGAGCAGAAATTACGGGATATTACATTACATAATTATGTATGTAATGCACCGGAAATCGCTGGGCATCTCAATATGGATATGGGTGGTCAAAATTGACAGAAAAGTCAGGAAAACATGGAATTAATCGCAATTTCCCAGACATTTATGCACAAGTAACAAATTATACAAACTTATTCCATGTCAAGCGGATGCAGGACGATGCAGAACTGAGAATTCTACAGATCGGAAAGACCCGGGAAAGACGCCAAAGACGGCAATCCGCCTGAATGCATAAAGTGCGCCAAAACTGCAGACTTGTAGAGGCTGCTAGAAAAAGCTAGGCCCAAGGTCACGAAAGGAGAGTAGCGGCGCGAAAGAAATGAAAGAATCAAGCAAACAAGCGCGGCAAGCGGTATGTATAGAACTATAGACACGGCGTTGCTTGAGTTTTGAACCGGTTTGAACAGAACTGGTTAGCAATCCATAACGGGGAAAAATGTCAGACGACCCCAGTCCGCCCGCCGCCGGTTGGCGCAATGGGAGTCGGGGAAGGGGAAATGGAAGAAAAAGATGGAAAATGATTAATTTTCAATAAAAAAAAAAAAAAATAGTGATCAAATTGGTTCAATTATATTATATTATTCATAATTTTAATTATTTGCTCTTCTTTGATGAATAAGATTTAAATTTCAAATTGAGGATTGTAGAAATTGTTTGTAAAATGATGCTTACATACAACCTCTAATTGCAATCAAAAATCATAAAGCAGGAATTTTAATTACACTGTTAAAAAATTTCGATTAAATTATAGAAAATTCTTAGCTAATCTAAAAACATGCGCACGATATATGCATATTTTTTTTTAGCAAGAAGTTTAAATGAAAACTCAAAACCCCATAATATATTATGTAATATCACAAAATTTTAAAATAATTTTTCATGTAGTATGAGTAAATAACAATTTATTTATTTCATTATTTTTCAAAGGGTCGGACCAAGCCAAAGTCCTCCTCCCAATTTAATCTTTTATTTATTTATTTGGGGAATATCTTTATATTAAATATTGAAAATCAAGCACCAATTATTTATATTGTGTATATTAATAGTTTTGCTGCCACTTGAGTATTGCAAATTAGAGATTTAAATTAACAAAATAGCAAAGACAACTGAAAAAATTTTTTATTAATAAATCAAAACCAGTAGGAATTTGAAATATTATTCCAAATGATACCAGAGGAATTAATGATTAAAAATTGCTAAATTTTAGAGGTTGCACTATGGAAATGTTTTACAGGAGAAGTGGTTTCATTTTTTCATAAAAGCAATTTCGGCTGCTTGAAACTATCGTGGTTTTACCACGACAAAACGTCGAGATTGCGATCTAATCTGTCCAAAATAGCGGCCGGCGATCGCATGCAAATGAGGCGGCGGAAGACGCGCGCGAATGCAGAGGAGAAACACACAAAACACACGGCATAAATTGCCCGCTGCGTGGCCCTGTATGCTAACTTTAGCGATTCGGAAAGCGGCGCGGCCGCCTGCGGATGGCTTACGCCGCTATATTATTACTGGCAGGGTGTTTTATGGGCACAGATCACGCCAGGGGTGTATACCAGAGGAAGAGCAATATATATGTAAGCACACTTTGATACTCATGATTTGTTTTCCCCAGGGAAGTAGGACGCCAATAATATGCAATGTACGCCCATAACTACACCACCATCATCTCCACAACGACGGCACCATCGATTGTTTGGGAAAAAATAAGAGCGGCTGAATGAGCAGCATCTGCGTGCCGCGTACTTTATACATTTATGCAGATTCAAAGGCGCGGCTCAAAAAGAAACCCTTCGACGTGTACCGTACCTTGCAGATGTACACATACAATTTAATGGAAATGCGCACACGAGAAACGGTGCTTGCTCAATTTCTGCCTCGCCTTGTTTTCAGTTTGCAGTTCCCTTGAAATGCATTCAACCCGTCGAGCTCACGTTTCGAGACAAATATATGCGTATTGTTCGCTCCCAATGCATTATATTATATTTGTTGATGCATGATGGATGGTCTGCTCCATTTTTGACTTGCGAGCAACACATTCGTTGGGAATTATTGATGAAGCAGCCAAAGAAAGGTGTGTGCAGTTTGTGTCACTTGCGAGTGCAATTTATTGTTAATATCAGTCACACAGCAGTGAAATGTGATTAATCTTAAAAGTCAAGAGCTACATACTTTATACGCTTTATGCTGTATGACTAAGAACCTTGTAAGAGTTCTATTTATTTGCTTCACTTTAATCGAGAAAAATAACAAAGGCTTTCTACTGAAAATATAAATAAATGTTGTTTAAAGCAGCTTTTTTTTAAGACTGAGCTCTATTTTATTAAAAAAAAACTTCTGAATTTCCTTTAAAACCTTTCTGTAAATCTGTAAACCCTTTCTTCTCTTTTTCAAATTTTAAATTTTTTATCGACTGAGAAGTATATAATTATATATATGTTTATAGCAATTAATTATTTTTTAGGGGAGACTGGGGAGAAGTAATATCAAATAATCCAAATAATACTGCCCTGATAGCAAATATTGATGAATATCATCTTGTGAGACTTAATTTGTACAAAGCGGTTTTCTTTGAAATGTTGGTTTACTTAAATTTATTAAATTTTGTTCAGTTCTGACCCTCTAACCTACCCATTTTGACTGACCTTAAATTCTTAAAATCATATACGAATATTACAAATTATAGGAATAGCAAAATAATTCCATTTTATGAAAATATTCTTTTGAAAATTTTAAAATTGACTTGTGATTAGTAACAGTGATTAATCTGACGAAAGACGAGAAAATCATGATTAAAATTGGCGGCTAAACCCGCCAATCCTGATCAATAAGGCCGCTATTTGCAAAAATAGCCAACTTACTAAAAACAAAGCTGTTAAGTGTTAAGTTTATAATTCGGCCACTACTAAAATCAAAGATTTATTAATTTTAAAATTTTTTATAAAATAGTCTCTGAATTTTAGACAATAGAAATTTAAATTATTCAAACTCTTTGCGGAATTAATTTCAATGTGAAAATTTGTTTTGTTGGTATGTGCCAACTTTTTGCTGTTTTCCAGCCTTGCTCCAGCCCTTCCCGCGCTCCATGTGACCATGTGTCCGACGTCCAATCCAATCGTCCTCATCCATCGTGTTGTGGTTTGTGTGTGTTCGTTCGTGCTTTCTTTGTTCACAGAGAGACTTTTTTCATTAAAGAAGTGTTTTTGCGGGCCTTTATCGTCCTTCAAGACCGAGTCCTGAGGTTAGGAAGCTTTTTAGTTATCTTTTTTGCTCACAAGTCACAGGTGACAAATGCGTACGTCTGAAACTTTGGATAAAATTTGCTTATTATTCAGTCACCATGCCTCTTAATAAAAATTGAAATTTTAGCTTTATTAATAGTCAGTGGAACTTCAGAAGACTGACTGTGAGGGACCAAGGCGAGACTGCAGAAATTAAAAGGGAGCGTTTTGAGTTTTGAAGACAGCCTTCAATTAGCAGGAAAGCAAACCCCATCATCAGCAAGCCAGACATCATGGGAGTCACACCCTGCTCAAGACCAGCCGGTGCATGACCTTCAATAAGGTCAGTGGTGATTATTTTATTAAATCTAAATTTATTATTATTATTGTTTATTCTTCACAAATCAAGTTAACTCTTTCTTTTGCAATTGGTGGGTGAACACATGCATATGGGTTTCCTACTGCTAAAAACGAGACTGACTGCAGCAAGAAGTGGATATTTGCTTTTTTACGTTCTCAAACTTTTTGATCAATATTTTTTTTTTTGAAGTAATAAAACGCTAAAAAAAACCAAATCTAAATTGTTAAAAGTTAAAAAAATGACCCATTTATTTCTGTTTTTCTAATGGAATTTGCAATACATCTACATCACAAAGGTGTGGAAAAGGAAATTTTTGGAAATTGTGTTACAACAACAAGACACGTGGCACCTATCTAAATTTTCTTCCACACCTTTGTGATATATTACGAATTCAATTTGAATAATTGAATCTAATGTGTCATCTATTTCCAGAATGGATCAAATTTGTAACGATAACTAAATTAAACTAAATTAAATTAAATTAAGAAAATTTGAGATGGTTTTGGAGAACATATTTAAATAATTATAAAGAATAAATAAATTTTTCCTCATTAATCAATCTCTTAATTTCAAAGAATAAAAAATCTTCAATATTTAAAAAAAAAGAAAGATAATTTTAATTTGTAAATTCTGTATCAAAAGCTTTTAAAGATAAAAGTAAAGCATCTTTTTAATCTATAATTTGAGGCGGCCGGTGTTTAAATTTTTTGTTATTGATTAATTTGACCATTTATTAAGCTGTTCAGGGCATTTTTTGTTCATTATAGTGTACATAGCCATACTAGACTAGCACAAAGTTTGTTATATCAAAAAGGTTAGGGACTGTTTGCAACTCTGTGGCGAGAAAGTTCATACGGCAGCAATTTCCTCAGGCTCTCTGCCGAGAAACTTGCTCGCCCTAATAGCAAAGTATAATTTTCTCGAGATATATTTCGCATGGCTCTCTCTCATTACTTGGGAACAACCTCCAAATACATATACGCACATCTGACTGTGGGTCCACTTTGCTAAATGAACGTCCTCCTCGAGATCAGAAACGGCTGCGAATTTGTGTCCCTGAAATGGATAAACAGGCACAAGAGTGGAAAATGTGGCGCCTTTTTCTTTTTCTGCATCTGTGTCGCACACTTTCTTTTATTATTATTTTCTCTCTTTCTCTTACTCAGAGCAGCCTGGAGGTAGAAAAGTGAGAAAAGGAATGTTGTATATATCTCCTTTTTTCGTCGCTGCTGTCAAAGCAGAGAAACAGAGAGGCGCGTGTTGACAATAAATAAAATGAGGAAGAAAATTTCTGTTCCAGCGTTTCTGAGTGAGCGTAATCTGCACTGTAAACGCGTGTAAACGGGCGGCGAGGCAAATCAAGCAGGTGGCTAAAATCGACGAGCTGTGAATTTGAGATCGAAATTTGCAAAATCAAGAGAGTGCCTCGTGCTATTCGTGATCTTTTAATATGTCGCGCCATGGCAGCTCTCTGCTATGCAATAAGAGCGAATCTCCAGCTTTTTGCCGTAATTTAATTCCGAGGAGAAACATTTGCGCTACAACAGTCGCGCCGCGCGCAGTGACAAGTCTTTAGAAATTTGAAGCAAAGAAAATCACGAATGCTTCACTAAGCAAAGGACAATACGGAGGCAAATACAAGAAAAGGGAGGAATGAATTCTTGCAGCGCGCGTCTCAAAAGCAACATTTCATCTTCTCCGTCGCCTCCTTTCTCTCTGTGTTTGTGTTTTTCTGTCGCGCGCCATGCATCACAAATCTGCCGCCGCTCGTCTTTCCCCTTCAAATTTCGTGTATTTATTAAAAGAGAAGAGAGCGTTTCCGCTCCGAAATCGCGAGAAATGTTCTCGCGAATTGCCCGTCGACAATTTAATTTGCAGCAATGTAATAAAGCCGGCAGCTCTGACACCCGTTTGCTCTCCTTTTCTTTGTGCATGTGCCGTCGAGCGGCATTATCAATAAGGCAATAAATAAGCGGCATTCACTTTTTTCGGAGATAGCTGGCTGGCTGAAGCGGCGCGGGCGGCGGCCCCATACAAAGCCGAGCTGATGCCTCCTCATACCAGCAACACGGGGGGTGTCTAACATGGCTACATGCCAGAGCAGCTGACATTTTTTTATGCCGCAACAGGTTTGATGAAAATTTCCTGCTCTTTGTACACGCACAAATGAGAGAGACAGCAGCGGTGCCTTGAATGGACCATAGAAAACAGGCAAAAGAAAGCAACTTTTGCTCGCTCTGGCTAAAGGCCATGGTGGCCTGCACGAGCAGCGGAACGCAACCAGTCAGTCCCATCTGCTGGGCCAGTTGCCTAACGCCGAAAATCAAGGCGCTTTATGTATTAAATTAATTTTGGAGTCTGCATGACTTTGCCCCTCTTTTCATAAGCAATTCACAACCTTTCATTACGGGAGAGATTTTTGGTTTGGAACAATTTTTTACATAATTTTATTTAATTTTGGCAACAATTGGCAACAATCAAATTATTTTATAGAAGATAAAATTTATTTATTTAAATCAGCATTTGAAAGAAAAGCACAGTGTATTTGCATTTAAAAATTTCTAAATGTTCGAATAAAATAAAATGATTGATTAATTTAATTCTAGAATAAGATAGAATTAAAATTTTTACATATGTTCAAAATCTTGATAAAGGCAAAATTATATTTGCAAAAAGAAACAAATTTATCAAAAATATATTATTTCAATCCTTTCCACAAGGATTTTGCCTGCGAGCACACGCAACGCCTGCATGCATTATTCGGCAGTTAAGGTGTGTGCTTGACAGACGAACATGTATATTATATAGGCGTGCCAGGAGATATAACCAACATCCAATATTGTAGAGCACCTTCCAAAATGACACTTGTCACGAACGTCAACTTGCATGTCGAAGTAGCACCGGCGTATATTTTTCGTCGAATAAGACCGGGATAAGAGTGGAAAAGAGTGAGGTGTGCCGGCGCTGGTCTCTTTGGAGAGATGAGCAAAAAAAGGGGAAATTGAATTCCACTCTTAAAACTTGTATTTTTGCTCTCCGAAAAAAGAGCCAGCTTGAAAAGAGAACAGCGTGCAAAGGAATTTTACGGCAGCCGCTGCTCCCACTTTGCGGTTTTCTTTGTATTAAGGATTCATGCCTGCGTCTGCAAAATTCGTCGCACAGACACGCCGAAAAAACCCCCAACTCTTATTTTTTCTTTCCATTAACAAAACGCCCTTGTCCTGTTTATTGCGTGGATTGTTTTAATAATAACTTCAAAAACAGATAGTAGTACAAAATAATGTTAAAAATATTGTTGGTTTTGTTCTAGTAATGCAAAACATTGAGCAATGCTCCCGACAGTTTGAATGCGGTGATCGAAGCAAACAACTTTTAGACACCATATTAGAGAAGTTGTTTTGGCGAGAGAATATAAATTATTCCAAACCGGCAAAACTCGTCACTCGCTCCGGTCCCAAACAGGAGCGATCTGCTGTTGGCACATTTCAAAGTCCATTAATTCTACTAATGAATTATCAGCGAGTATTTAGGCCTGGTGCCATTGTGCGATTTGAATAGGAATAGGTATTATTTCGTTCATCTTGCACGTCCCGAGCGTGGGAAGATGCACACCCAGGCAAGACAGCGACTGCTTTATTGCGCTGTTGTGTCTCGCACCTTCGGAATTTTGTGCCAAGAGGAGATCGCTCCCGCGGCGCCACACACGCGTGCCCGGCGCCTTCATGTTACTCAATAAATAAAGCATAAAATTCGCCAAATGAAAGTTTTATGCTGGAGAAAAGTGGTTCCATCCCGCGCACCGCTGAATAAGAGAGAGCTGTCTCGACTGGTTGTCGTAAATCTGGCTCTCCGCGAATACTTGCGCGCACGTGAAACAGGGAACATTTACTCCGCTAGCTTTTACGACTGCTTTTTCAGGGTCCTCTTTCTGAATCATTATCTTTAAGTAAGAGGATAAAGTGTGTTGATTGATTGAAATTATATTTTCCAACATTAATAATAATGAAATTTGTATCATAAACACACCATACTCCTTATGTAAAAATTGATACATAGAAGTATGTACTACACACATAATAACATAATGTAGCAGAGAATAATACATATAATTTGCAACTTTGAAATGCATAAAATAATAAAAAAATTTTGTTCAGAGATGTTTTCATTGAACAAATTTACAATTTAATAGATTCAAAGAGAAGAATTTAATTTAAAATATATTATTATACAATAAAGAAATAAAAAATTATGTAAAAACAAAATTAAATTTTTAAGTATACAATATTTGAAAGTATTAAATATATTTATTTTTATTTTTAAAACATTTTTATTACTTTTTTAATTCTTCCTCAATTGAAATGTTTTAAAACAAGTAGAAATAAATAATTATTATGAGTGTGCATAGTTACATGTCCCTTGCATTTCCCAATATATGTATTTGTCTTGATATTTTTTTTTATTTGAATTCAAATTTATGGCTTATTTTAAATTGAAAAATTAAATAAAATTGTTCTGCATGCAGTCATTTCACGAATGCAAACTGTTGTGATTTCATGAAAATTGTATCAACATAATATATATGAAATTGGCACGTGCAAAATCCGGCCCACGTTCCGTTCTCCTCTCCGCTGAGCGGCGATTTGCATTTTAAATTAAATGCAGGCGCCGGAGCCGCGCGTGTGTGGCTAAAAAATGGATCAAAAGCGCGAGTTCTCTGAGCAGGCATTTGATGGTTTGGCCGCAAACGGGCACGCACAACGGTCGAATTAGTATGCGTTGCATTGTGGATGGAGACCAATACTATAGCTGGCGTGAGAGAGTGAGCAGCCCCGAGACGGGTCTTATGGTATACGGACCGCGCGCACAGTATAACCTGTGGAAGAGAATGGCACTGCTAGGCCTGCTAGAGTAGTGCTTGAGAGGAGGTTCCCTCGGGAAATCACAGCGTGGCTAAAACACACGGCCCTTTTCAATGCCGCCCC